TCTTCTTCTTCCTCCCCTTCTGCTTTAGCATCCAAATCAAAGGTGAATAGGACAACTGAGAGCATCTTCATCTTTTTCCTCCCCTCTTCTTTAGTATCAATATCATTAGCGTCAGAAACAAGAAAACTGAGAGTCAAAAAAAAGTGAGAGTCATTTTTGCAAACCCCTCTGATAAGTATGTACATAAGGGAGAAGAGGGAGAAGAGGAAGCATTTGCCAAGCGAACACCGTGTCGGCGAACACCCTTGTAAGCGCGATGCTTCCGCAGGATACTTCTTCGCAAGCAGAATCTGCTTGAAGCACTGGTTTGCCCTAGTCTCCGCCATGGGCAGTTGACAAAGCTGTGTGGCAGGTCATTGAGAGAGGAATGGACAGTGTTGGCAATGGTGCCTCGAGTTATATACAAAATCATGGTGCATTTGGCACTGGGCACTATGATGTTTACCATCAGCACTGGCCAGCCAATATTGATGGAGCAGCAAGACCTTAGTGGTGTCAAGACATTTGTGAATATTTCAGGAGAATCTGTGAAGACGATGATGGTATTGTTCCACGGGTGCAACAATCAGGGCCACGACTGGTTTCAAAAGCCTGAGGAAATTGTGTTTTTGCACAAAGCGATTTTGAGGAAGATCGCAGTGGTAGCGTTTACAAACCCTCGCCATCGAGGAAATTTTTGCTGGCCAAGTCCAGATGAGGAATATTTTTTGGCCTCTTGGGCGGCATCACTTTGGCATCTCTTTGGCAATTGCCCAGAAAGCAGGGAAGACAGGTCAAGAAGAAAACACCAAGTATATTGAATAAGTCTGCTGCATTTGTCACCACCCCGTCACCTTTGGTCTTGGATATCACTGCACCGCTGAAAGGCCTACTGTAAATCAGCTTTTGGAAAGAACACATTCGCAATCATACGGTACCCATTCTTGTTTCCGCAGCTGTCCCTGAAGGAATGGGCTCGACTAGACGTGATTCAAAACTTTCTTTAGATGAAATGACTAGAGCATCTTTTTATTTTGAAACCTGCAACAAAAGAGATTGAAAAAAAGAAGGTACGCCCTCCTTCAAAGGAGCCTTACCTTCTTTCCATTTCTGATATTTTTTTCAGCTTTAAGGAAGCCACCGATTTGCTCCACAGAGCACTGCTGGAGTTGCTTGACTCGCTGAAGAAGCCGCCGAAACCGCTGGTTGTCTTCTCTGTGTCCTTGATATTGGTGGGAGCTTCCTCTGGTGGAATTTTTGCGTTCAAAGCTCAGATTGAGCCACCTCAAACGTTGATTAAACTAAACCCTGATCCGGGCAGCCTTGCATCTGGTTCCGAGGTCGCGCTTGCCAGCAATTTGGCGGAACAAGCTGCTCAATCTCGCACAGGCTTGTCATTGTCATTGAGCCCTTGGCTCTTGTGATGTAGTTATCGCTTGTTGTTGTACCTACTGAAAGAGTTATCCTTCTGAACAAATTACTGACCATGTTGGTTCCATACTTTGATGTACTTTGTAATCATGTCGCTCCCAGACGGACACCCGCACCAGGTTGCATTTTTGAATGCATGCAGTATGCTTTTGGATATGTCCCCCTCGCTTCCCACTTGGAATGGGTCAGTGCAGGTGACAGCATTTCTTTCTGTGGTTTCTCCCACAAGTTTCGTAAGGCGCCGGCTGTGCAGTGGTTTTGGTTGTGCCATGTATTGGCAGTGCTTGCTGCCCTCGTATGGAAAGTCCGAAGACCTTGCATTCGCTTCAGGAAAACCCAGCTTTTGGAGCAGCCGGGAGCAGACTTCCCTCCAACAGTTTGCCGGACGTGTTTGTTTGACCATGATTCAATGTATGTATGTGTGCACATGTGCATATACATACATTGTACGTTTGTGCGCTATGCTTGCAGAGACGCTTGCCTTCACTATGTATTTATGTTCAAGACATGCTGCTGAGTGTCGACCCTTTGCAGGGCCTGGTCTACATGCCAAGAGACACTACATTTGCATCTGAGGCAGACTCAGTCGAACTATGTGGTTTGTTCTAAAACTTGATGTTGACATAGTTGGGGCTGGGCTATTTACATGCTTCAACGCACTTACCACAAGATGTCCAGCATGATGTGCAGCAGGAGGCTATCGAAACATTCTTGGGCAGCCTGCACCAAGCTGGTGTTGCTGCCAAGGCGCGGGAGGGTTTTCTAAGCTGCGCTACAAGCAGGCAGTAGCTTTCCGAAGACTGTAGCATCATCGAGAGCGCAGCACCGTAAAGCTTGCTTAAATCTCGCAGAAGTCACCCAGAAGAAGGCTAAATATCCTGTTTATAGATATCTTTGGAAGTTTGAGAATTGATAATCTATACGGTCTTTGACAGTTACTGTCTATGGCAAAAGAGAGAGAGCGAGGCTGAAAGAGGTTGCTTCCAATCTTGCTTTTACCCCACTTAGACACAACCCATGACAAAGAAATCACCTGGAAGCTACTGGAATCTTTCGTGGCATGTTGTGGTTGCATCAGCTACCAAAGCTGTCGTTGTTCATCAATCAATCTGCTACATGCAGTCAGTGAAACCGAGAAGAGGAAATGGTGCGAGCCGCGGCGCCAAAGCCAAGTTCACACTATATATTGATCGTGGATGTTGGTAATTAGTTTTATATAGGTATATATATATATGTATATATTTGATTGCTATTGCATGTTAAACTATTTTAAAGACAATGATCATGCTAGCTTAAAGGTGAAGCTGATCAGTTGCCTCAGTGGACATCCACATTGCAACAACAACCAAGCCTAGGACCCAAGCTGAATAACAGCAAACGAGTTGGTTGTCAAATGCTTCTAATCGACATTATATGATACCACCTCTTTGTCATTTCATAAAGTTAAAATGACATTTATTGTATATAAGGAATCCGAATGGGGAAATTTGGACGTGCTGATCGATGACACAACCGTGCACAGTGTTGATTGATGACCTTCCGCTCACCTGTCTCTCCAAAGCCACTATTACAGGGTTCTTCATATTTCACTTCCGTTTGACGAGGATGATGTTCGAAAATGTTCAATAACTCTGCACTACAACATGCTTTGCGCACGTGCTTTTGACTCTTAGGAACCTGTGAGGATCAGCCATGCATTAGCAGAGCACGTAAATTTAGAGCCACTTTCAGTTGAGCAGAGCACAATCATTTCTTCAGGCTTGGGCACTTGCACCACAACAGCTGACCGCGGAGACTCTGATTGCGAGCCTTCAAATTGCGGGGATATTTGTCGAGGTACCTGAAGCCTGATGCGTCTTCATTTCATGGTTTGTAGACTCAAGCTGCCTGCCTTGCGATCCTGCAGAATTTGGTCGCGTGAAGGACAAAGCAGTGCAAAAGTTTATTGAGGCCAGTTGGGCAGAGCAAAGCTAACAGAGAAGGCATGGACTGCAACAGACATCATGCTCCAGACATAGACAATGACATGGCAAGTAACTTAAGTATTTAGAAGCCCGCAAAGGTGTTGTGCATAATCCGCTGTGGTCCCTTAGAGGCTTTGACAGACCTTGGACTACTTATGGATGGAGAGGCCTTGGCAGCCTTATGAGCAGACCGCAAAGTGTCAAGTACTGATGTGTCTCACCAAACAAAATATGTCCATTGCATTGAACCCACTGTGTCAATGGCTCGTTTAGTTGGAAAAGTCATTTGTGAAGGTCATAGAGGACCCTAGGCGCATTCCTTGGCGCAGAGCTGTGGCACTCTTGGACTGCACGGGCTTTCTTCGGGTCAGGTGAGGTCATGTAAGGCCCAAGGTTGCGACGAAGTTTCATAAGGTCTCATCCCTCGAGAACATCCTTTTGTGCCCGATTCAGTCAGAATCATATTCTTGAAGTTTGAACACGATAGTAAATATACAATTGTTGTCCTATCAATCCACACATGCATCAGCTGCACAAAGATCACATCGTGCGTGATCTGTCTTTACCAGGACGCTGGAGTGCAAGGACATTCTCGCCAACATCGACACAGGTGCTTGGAGGCATCAGCCAATAAAGCGACGACTCCATATTCGATTTCGATGTCTCAGCGGATGAATTGCCAAATGAATGAATTGCCAAATCAACGGTGGTTTATCGGCATCGGCCAAGTCTAGCCTTAGCATTCTGGGAAAGTTTCAATTTCAGGAAGTCTTGAACCGTGCCTGGGCGCAGCATGAGTTTGGCATGGATGCCGAGGCATGGGAAGCCAGAGCGTGCTGCAAGTTCTGCTTGAAAAATACACTTGCATTCCACCCTTTGCCTTTCATATCCCTTGTTTTCAGGTGATTGATTGGTTGTTGTACCAGTCAAATGCCCAGGCCTGGCGTAGTTTGGAAGAGGGCTATCATTATACGATCATTGCTTCATAACTATTCAGAAATTCACATACCCGACAGAGCATGAGCTGGTCGGAAACTATCTAGTAGAATCTAGAAACAACCCGTGCAGGGCATCCGCTCACCATTCCATAATAAGGCTGGCTAGAGGTGGAAATGTGGAAACATGTCATGTGGAAGCGATGCTTGTGGGGACAAAGGAAAGTGTCGACAGCCTTTGAACAACATGCAGAGGCTCTGAGAACTCTTTGGTACCTGATTGACAAGACATGGATGCTTCACAGTTCAATTCATTTGCATCAGGAAATTGCATGAAGTTGCATGAAAATGCCGAGATTGACTTGACTTTGCCGTCGGCCAGGTGGTCAAATCCGAACTTTGAATGATCACTGGCTTGATCTCTGAAAGTCAGGAACAAGGCTTTCCGCCTTCACTCCAAGCTTTGCAAGACAAAAATAGTCTCATTTCCATTTGCAGGAGCACCTAATTCAACCTGCCACCTGTTTGACACGGGCTGTGGCCCCCGAGGCAGCAAAAGCAAGGCTGTACTCAACTGTACTGGGTACTCTGCGTGAAGGTCAGGACGGCTAAGGTCTAAAGGCCAGTTAATATAATTTAATATACATATTGGTGAAACTTGTGCAAACCAATGCACAAATGACAATTGATCAAAACACATTCTCGTCTCTTAACATTCAGCTGCCAAGAAGTCGTGAACGCTTTCAATAATTTCTATGGTCTTCCATGCCGCCTGTCAGCAGACGTCTTCTCCTGCCGTGGGCACAAAATCCCACTAAGTATCAGGTTTGGCTAGAAACTGGTTGCACAACCATGTAGATCTAAGTATGAGTAAGTATTTGCCAATATCAGCGCACTGAGGACTCTTGGACTTAGGAGGCTTAGGAGGTGCTCGGGCTACTCGTCGTTGGTTGTTTGTGTTGCTCAGGCCCTAGCAAAATAGTATTACAAAATGTATATCTCGCTCGGAGCTGGGCAGTGCAATGCAAGGCTAAAGACTTGCACGGGGAATCTTTCCACAAGGGATGTTACTGTTAGCCCTGTGTTATTTTGCAACGCGTGCAATCATGTGCTTGTGAAGTCCAGGGACGTTTGTCTCATGTTGCATTCATGTTTTGCCGCTTGTTTGAAGCTCCTTTGGGGCGGAAAGTCGACTTGAGCTGCCCCATTCCGTCCGGCCCTCGGTGACCTGAAGTCTTCTATGTATAGAATTGGTATAACCTATTAGCTGTTGCTTTTGTGTTTCATTCATAGATTCTTGCTCCGACTGGTAGCACTGCTGCAAATCTGTGGCTCAAAGAATCAGATTGAATCATAGGCACTTTTTGGGACGTCAAGTCGAGGTCCCAGTCGAAGTGTTGGAATGCGCGTGCCTGTGCACTTATCAATCGCATAGTGCTTCACCTGAACAGTTCAGTGACAGGCATGAGTCATAGGTCCTTTTCAATACAGTGCGTACCAATGTTCTACATTGAGTTTCCAGGCAAGAATGGGTGGCCTGATTTCAGCTCCATTGTCTGGCGTAGCAACCTCATTGTCTTGCGCTTCATCAAGTTCCAAGTTCTTCAGTCCTTCAGAGTCCAGAGTCCTTCAATTCTGATTGAACTGCGTTGTTCCCAGGCAGGCACTTGCCTAGGCGGCTGCTTTGGCAGCTGTTTGGCAACTGGTTGTTGTTTGGTGCTTAGGAAGCCGAGGGACTAGCTGTTGCATGTGAAGCTGTAAAATAATGGTTTCGAGTTTTGAGGTTTTCAGCACTTAGTCTGGATGGTCAATTATGTCATTCAGCTTGCTGGCTACGTTCAAGGTAAGCTAGCTGGCTCCGGAAATGCGATCAGCTCAGATTTTGGGGGGAGCTGCAGCAGGTTCTTGTAGGTTGGTGGGGGTAGATGGCATGACACGAGCTTTCATGGAAGATTTGGAGCTAACAATGATGGGGAGACGACCATAAAGAGCTCTTTAATGTGTCCACTGGTTTTAGGGATGCCTACACTTGCAGGTGAGCTCAGCCCAAGCTTCACGCTGTGTACTTATTTGGTTGCAGGCATCTCCACGTGTTCACGCCGTGATTACCCTCTGCCATTGCACACGCTCCCCACAGGTTTTTGCCGCAGTGCTGGCCGTTTTCTTGTCCGCAACAGCAGTATGGGGCTTTGCTTTTTCAGAAACTGTTTGTTTTATTGAAATCGTGGCCGCCAAGGAGCAGTGGTTACCATGGACCTGTGGAAAGCTAGACTTGATTGGCGGAGCTGCCATGTTTCGTTACACGCAGTACACCATGTGGCCAGCCACTACTAAATCTTGCACAACAATCCTTCGAGTGAAGATCCTTTCCAAATCCACCTCCAAAGGCCTGGGCGAGCTTGGAATATGTGATTGCAGATTGTCCGCGGATGGATGCTGGCAATGTACTCAAATTACATTGTGCCGGAGTTGAAATTGCGACTCGGAGACTGCAGTCTATGCTGAGGTCAGACCAGCTTATCTATAGAACAGAGGCCACTGTGTGAATATGCGATCGACACCCTCACAACACTTGCCAACTCACTTCAGTTGAGCAAAAGGAAGGGTCTGTCCGCTGTCCAGCTTGATTTGTTGAAGGCCTCGGCAGTCATTGTTTTCCTCGCCCTCGTCATCATGTCAGTCAGCGGGTGCGCAGAAGGCGCTGCAAGGCCTCCACGGGACTTGGTCAGGCAAACCGATGGAAAGCTTTAGAGCTTATTCAACTTTATATTGAATAATACTAAAGAAATTAGTATTTATCACAGGGATAAAGTGGAGTTTCCGGGAGAATGTACAATGCGTTGTGGTGTTGTTCCCTAATGAGACAATCTCTATAGAATTTGGAGTCTCTCATTGTGCGAAGCACGTTTAAGACCCAAAAACGGGACCCACTTGGCTGCAAGCCTAACTGCATCCAGCGAGAGAGGCAAGGGCCTCATGTCAATTTGCTGGAGTGCTAGAGTCTGCTAGAGGCTAGAATGAACCAGACACCTATATGTTCTGCCGTCACACCCAATCGAACATGGCTTGATTGCATCGCAAGAGCTGCTACTTTGTGTATTTGCTGTTTATTTATATAATGCTTAGTTCAGCACCAGTGCCAGGGCCTATTCAGTTGCAAAATTCATGGCAGTGGTTCGGATCACAGAGAGGGACAACAGATGACAACAGTAATTGGTAAAATTCCAACGAGAGACTTACCACTTGAAGTGACAGCCTCAGGTATGCTTGGTATTCATCGCTCTTTTTGTGCCCAACAAGGCAAGGTAACAATTGCAAGCAAGATCCGGATATTGTGCTACAAGCACGCTTCAATCTTCTGGAACGCAATGCAACTCGTGTATGTATACACGCATACATAACATATCTACATATACATAATATATGTACATGTATACATAAGCACATAATGTTACCACAGTTACAATGCCTATGCATATATATATATATACATACAGGTTCGTGTATACCGTGTATATATTGATTACCTATTGAATTCCTTTTTGATTTTTTGATTCCGTTTGAAATCCCTTTGATTGCTGTTCATTACCTGTTGAGTTATTTATTTACTTTGTTGTTTAAAGTTTAATCCCTTAGTATTGTTTTGTCAAACTATTGCAAATACACTACAAATCTTGAATAATAACCGCCTACAATAGTGTTTGCCCTGTTTGGCTTTGATACTATCATCCCCTGTAATCACGTGTGCGCTTTTCATGTTTCATTATTTTTATGTGTGACTTCCCTTTTTTAACATTCGTCGTGGGTTTTATTGATTACCTATTGAATTCCTTTTGGTGTTGATTTCTTTGATTACCGTTTAAGCTCTTTATTTAAATTATGTTTTAACTTCCTTCTTAAATCTTATCAAAGTATTGCAAAATCTATTCCACAAAGAGGGTAGCCCAGTACAGAAAAGCAGCTGACAAGCAGGAAAAGGTAGAAGAGCTGAAAAGCAGGAAAAGGTAGATCGTGGGGGGGTGAGCATGTGTATATATATATACACGCATGTCTTTTCTCGACTACGATATCTCAGCCGCAGAGTGATGCAAAGTTGCGTTGTTTTTCCCAACAGTGGCTCTAGTCTGGCACTAGTTCGGCACCAGCTGATTTGATACTGGCCTATGTATATTGTGGGTCAAATGGGTTGAAGGACCGCTGAGAACCGACCACAGTGGTTGTCTTTACTTTGATGAGTTGTTTGCAGCCCCAGCTGAGGAGGACTGTAGCGCTATCATGCGCACCTGCTGAGATGATGGTGTTCCTTTCGGTAATACCACGCTGGCCTCGAGCTGGAAAGAATCACATGCAATCTATAGTCACTGTAGCGCCCCACTTACTCCGCCGGCACAATTCTTCACAATCAAGGCTTTGATCAACCGACGCAAAGTTTTGAGGCATGACACAGGAATTTTAGTGGTTGCATTCACAAGAGAGCTGTACGCCAAGCGCTGCGACAAGAAGAAAGTCTGTCCAAGCTCTCGAAGAGGGATGGGAGCTAGCTGCTAGCAAGATCCAACAAGAACCGCCGGCAGCCAGCAGCAGCAAGGAGCCAGTTTCAGTCAAAAGTGAGTGCACTAGCCGCTTTGGCCACAAAACCGATGTGAGGGCTGAGCATGCATTTATATATATATATATTCATACTTGGAAGCAGAGCTTTGTGGAGTTGCAGGTCAGCGACCTGCTTTTGTGCCACAAGATGTCGATAAACACAGAAAGTCAAGCACAAAACATTGTTCTGGTGGTGGTAGTTTTGGGCACAAGACTAGTGACTAGTCAGGTTTGCGCCTTTTCGTATCAACTGTTTGACAGAATGTACACAATGTGTCCATTTGCTGGGTAGCTCAAGAAACTGCCGTCAGATGAGTATTTCATGCCTCCAGGTTTGGACAGTCTTCGGAAGTTGGGCAACAGCTTTGTCAGCGATCTTCCTGGTCGCACAGGAGATTCTTTCAATTACACTATGGCCGCGGCCGTGCTAGTGTCGTCAACGCTGTTTAGTAGATTTAGATGTT